ATATATATATATATATATATATATATATATATGTTAAAAACTTTTATTTCATATATATTTTATGATTATGATAAAAGAAGGAATATTATATAAGAAATATTTTATGATTATGATAAAAGAAGGAATATTATATAAGAAATATTATTTTATGAAATGTTTAATAATAAAAATAATAGATATATAAAATTAGAAAGAATTAATTGTTTCATTAGGAACTGCAGATAAAGGACAACTTGATGGTTTCATGGCTGATGGTGCAGTGCCGCCAATAAAGAATGGGCATAATTGTAATAATATGGGTTTCGCAACACAACCAGTAAAACAAACTTCTGATGTTTCTAATACTGTTTATGCTGTGGGGCAATATGCTCCAAAAGTTTTAAGGAATTTAAATGCCCAAAGACTAAAAAATCAATTTAGTGATGTAGGCCTGGTTGCTGGTGGTAGTGTTATTAGAGCACACAGATCAGTTCTTGCAGCAGGAAGTGCATATTTTAATGCTATGTTTACTGGTGGTTTGGTTGAAGAACAGCAGGAGTTAGTAGAAATTCATTCAGTATCAGCTAATATTCTTTCTCTCTTGGTGGATTTCATTTATACTGGGAATGTTGATATTACCCAGGATAATGTTCAAGAATTATTTGCAGCTGCTGATATGTTAGAATTAGATGAAGTAGTGTTTGGTTGCATTACTTATTTGAAACAGCAACTGCATTATTCAAATGCTCTTGGGATTTATAGGTAAGATAAATAAAATTAAACAATTTTATCTAGACTATTATGTAGGATTATTTATAAAATAATTACATTAAATAGATTTGCAGAAGCACATAATAGATTAGATCTTTCGGAGACTGCCCTACGCTTTATACAAGTCAATTTTCCTCAAGTGTCTCAAGAAGAAGAATTTTTAGATCTGCCGAAAGAACATCTTGTTCATTTTCTTAGTAGTGATTATATTCATATTGATACTGAATTCCAGGTTTATATTTTTATAAATTATTTTATAAATATTAACTTTTTATAATTTAATTATATTGTAAATATTTTTCAAATTTTTAATTTTTATATTATATTTTATTATATTTTATTAGGTCTTCCAAGCAGCATATAATTGGATTATTCATGATATACCAACAAGAAGATGTTATGTATTTGAAATATTAAGTCATATACGTTTACGATTGTGTTCACTAGCAAGATTGGAACGAGTTATTTTGGAATGTAAAGATGCAAGTCTTATCGTTGCATTAAGATCTATACAAAAAGATTTAGTATCAAATAAAGGATGTCTTGTGCCTCTTCATGCACAACCTAGACTTTGTGCTAAGAAAAATATTTTAGTGATTGGTGGATCTAGACGAGAACATTCTGCAGATAGTTGGGGAAGAGCTGCTGAAAGTACTTATGAAACAATTGAAAAATATGATATATTTACAGGGTATAATTTTTTATATTATTTAATATTAACTTACTAAAAATTATGCATCAAATATCAAATTATAGAATTATAATTATTTCTTTAGTGAATGGAGTGAAGTAGCACCAATTGGTATAGGTCGAATACTACCAGGAGTCGCATTATTAGATGGTAAAGTTTATGTTGTTGGCGGAGAACTTGAATCATGTATTATCGCTAATTGCGAATGCTACGATCCACGTGATAATGTATGGACTTCGATTGCTTGTATGGAAGAACCTAGGTGTGAATTTGGACTTTGTGCCTTGGATAATAGTTTATATGCATTTGGTGGTTGGGTGGGTGAAGATATTGGTGGATCAATAGAAATATATGATCCAATAACTAATTCTTGGACACTTGATGGACAACTTCCAGAACCTAGATTCAGTATGGGAGTAGTTGCTTATGAAGGTAAATAAACTGAACAATGAATAATTAAATAATAAATAATTAAATAAAATATATTAAAATATAGAATATAATATAATATTATATATTAATTTATTATTTAGGATTAATATATGTTGTTGGTGGTTGTACACATAATAGTAGACATCGTCAAGATGTAATGAGTTATAATCCAGTAACAAGAGAATGGACTCACTTAGCTCCAATGCTCACTCCGCGTTCACAAATGGGTATCACTATTCTTGATGGATATATTTATGTTGTTGGTGGTACTAATAAAAATCAAGAAGTTCTGACGTCCGTTGAACGATATTCTTTTGAAAAGGTAATTTTTTTTGTATTATAAATATATTTATTTGAATTTTTTATATATTAAAATTTTTTATTATTTTAGAATAAATGGAGCACTGTTGCATCTATGAATATGGGTAGATCATATCCTGCAGTTGCAGCAGCCGATAGTCGACTTTATGTTATAGGAGGTGATCAGTCTCAGGAAATCAATTTTTTTCGAACGCAGATTACAATTTCTACCGTCGAATGTTATGATCCCCATTCAAATAAATGGCATGAATGTGCATCATTGCCGACAAGTAGAGGTGAAGCGGCGGCAATTGTTGCACCTTTTTGATTGAAATTTTTGTTCGATCATATCACCTTAATCACGTGCATTCCCTTTTAAATTTCATAATACTTGAGCATCTATTAAAAATTCTTGAACGTAAATATGAAATAAGAAATATCAAAGAAGAAACATATGTTTACTGATTATGTTCATTTACGTCATATATAGATTTGATGAAACAAACATAATCTTCAATGTATTTTTTTATAGATCAAATTTTAATAATCGATAGCATTTTTTCTAATGAACATATGATGCAAGAGGATTTGAAAAAAAAGATAAATGTTCCATTAATAGTACAGTGCTATTTTCTGTACCCTTGATATTATATTATGTATGCTGATTTTCATATAAAATTACATATGTTAAAAAAAGAATATATATATATTTAATAGTGAAGAAGTAGAGCTGAAACTGACTTCCATATATTTTAAACACTTTTAAAAAAATTTTATTAATTGTAGAAGTGACTGAAACCTTCACATTCTATAGTCATTTACCAAAGTTATAAAAAATACGAAATATAATATTCTATTGTAAATTTTATCACACTACAACGAGAGAAAATGGAGAGTATATTTCTAATATACATGTAATACGTGTGAAATGAAATATTCTTATTTGTTAGTGAAAAATACAAGTGTGATATATCTAGTTTTCATCAAAAATGTTAAAGTTACGCGTGCTTGTGATATTTATCAATTTTAAATCTCTATAAATTATTTTCAATAATAAACCGTATATACATATTTTGTTACTTATTCATTTTTGTCAATCTAAGACAAAAGAAACAAATACTTAATAATGATATTATTGTCTTAACTAATTTAAAAAAAAAATCATGTAAAAATATATTTTTTTTTCCATCTTTATAAATTGTGAAGTCATATTTTATAGAGTCACACATAATATTTGTAAGTTGACTAATCAATTTTACGTTATTAATGTTTTATAAAAAAAATTTTCAATCGAATCTGTTTTTTAAAGTGTATCTGATATTATATTGAAATTAAAATCGAACGATATTCTTTTTATATATCATAAAATTTGTAAGTAAACTTTATTTTTAAAATTATAAAATAACAAATTTTAAAATGATATAAGACATTATAATACATTTGAAAGAAAAGTATTTTGAAGAACTAATGAGGAATTGTTTATTATATTACTTTTGCAACTTCATAAATATTAATAATAAGTACTTAGGCTGAAAATAATTTTTATAAAATGTATATATCAATGTGATTCTATAATCAAATTGCTCTTAACATTTCAATTTTTATTTTATCAACTAATATATGTATAATTCATACTTTTACCTAATTCTATGTACTTCTTATACCAAAGTTTTGTTTAACAAATAGTTTATATAAGATGTTATTGCAAAATAATTAATATAACAATAATCTATATTCTAGGTTTTAATTTGTTATTGTTTAAATTGTTAAATTGGTTATTCTTTTTAGATTTATTTTTATTGTTTTCTTTTTTTCTAGGAGTGCTTTAATAAAATATTAAAAGTTTTGCACAAAATGTGCTTTTAAATAATCAAATATTTATTCTAAAATATTATAAAAAACATTTATTGGAATGAAACTATATATACTTTTTATTACATTCAAGAATAATTTTTTATTTTTAATAATTTGCAAATTATTAATTATTTTATGTAATATATTTTATTATAATTGTATATACAAAATATAAAATTGTATTATATATTATATTTTTTTCAATAATTTTTTTTTAATAAATTAATGTAGAAAAAAGTTTAATTTATTTATTTTATAATATTTATAAACGATATATTTATTTTTATTTTAATTATAAATTTAATTAATAATTTAGGGATATATATGTATACGTTATTAAAAGTGCTATTAGATAAATGGCCTTTATATATATTTTAAATATATAAATGAGATATAAAAAATTATCTTTTAAATTTTATTTGGTTCTCAATTTGAAAGTATATATTATAATATATATGTAATTGCACTTTTATCAGGATTGAAACTAAAGGAATTGCATTGAATTCAAAAATAGTTGAGAAATGTTATAAATATAATGATGTATGTATGTGTATATTTATGCATATATGCTTTATGCCAATTTAAAATAAATCTATTTGGAAGTATAGACATTTCACATACAATTTTTATACAAAAAATATTGCAATAAATGTTTCATAAAGAAAAAAAAATATAACGTAACTATATTCTCCAATGATATTTCAAAATATAATGTACATGTGTAAGTTCGATATGTGAACATTGTTATACACAATATTCGCTATAAAATATTAAGCTGTCTTAAAAATTATAAATAAATATTTAAAAATAATTAGTATTAATTTTATTTAGTCATTTAATAAATTTTGAAAATAAAATATGTAAAAAAATTCTGTTTGTGTTTTTTTTTCCATTATAATATTATTTTCATGAAAAATATAGTTTTTTATTCTTATAAGAATAATTATCTTATTCTTCTTATAAGAAACAATTATCTGAATATTGAAGCAAATATTTTGAAATAAATAAATTCAAATTCATTGCTTAGAATATGAAATATTTTATTTATAAGGACTGACAAATATTTTTTCTTAAGAATTTATAATTAGAATCAATTTTTAATTTAAAAGAATTTATATATAATTTTTTTTATAGAAAGAAGTCCAAGAAATAAATACTATCAAAGTTTACTGTCTATATCTTATGCATCACATAACTATTTTAGCTGACTTGTAAACAATAAGCGAATGATACTATGTTTTACGAAGATTATATAAATGTATAATACACATTTTTATATATATATTTAAAATCATTATAAAACATAGTCCAATTCATATCTAATATACTGATTCTTTGGATCATTCATAATTCGAGGATAACCAGCTACAAGAGCATCTTGTCCACCTATATAAAGAGAATTATAAATTTTCCAATATACATCTCGTACTTTCCGTGCTGGATGAAATAACCCCTAATAAAAACGTAATTATGAATGATATTTTATTATGTTATATCTATTATATTAATATTTACATAATTGAATATATACTTAATTGAATTGTAATATATACCTGCAAAGTATATTGTAATATTTTAATTGGTCCAAGAGCCACACGTAATCCATCTACTGCATCCATAAATGCTTGTACTAAATGAGGTGAAGTTTCAAAGACGTTCGGCCATACATGATTTAATAGATGTATCAATGCATCTTCACATCCAAACCCATAAACACCTAATGCCATATGTTTAATAGCAGCACATGCTGTTTGTCTATGTACTAAATCTCTGTAATAATAGTATTGAATTGAATTAGATTATTATATTATTATTTCTCATAAAAAGATTAATTTCTCATATAAATATTTTTTTACCTATCCATAAGTGCATCTTCCAACAATGGACTAACAGCGTAAATATAATCTTTTCCCATTTCACCGATATATTCGAACAAAAAAGATAAAGATTTTAATACACCATTTTGTACATTTAGTTCTGGTACTCTATATTCATTCATCAATGCAGGAAGTACTGTAAACGGACTACAAGTTTCAGCTACAATAGCTATAGCTACTGTAGTGCATACACGATTTTGACGTTCTTGTACTTTCAAATTATTCAATAAAGTTGCTAATACATCATGAGGACTGTACAAATGAATAAAAAATTTAAAACATGTTAATGTTATTAAACTTTGATATTATTTATAATTTATAATTACCCTATCGCTTTTGCAATATAACCAAATGTATTTACTGTAGCTCTTCTAATCGCTTTCTTATGAGCTTTTAGAAGCTCCAAAAGTTCAAAACATATTCTCATCCATTCTCTAGCAGATACATATTCAGGTCCTCTATCTGCAATTCTGCCTACGAGATCAATACAATTTTCTTGTACCTAATATGAAAAATTTTATATTGTAAATATATTTTTAGAATATGACTAATAATTTTTATATAAATATAATTATAAATACTCACTTTTTCATGTCTATTCTTTAATATAGGAGTGAGTCGTGGTAATAAATCTTTAATAGGTGGTGTCATTTTTGTCATTCCTATGACATTTACAATAGCTTTTAATGCGCCCAAAATACTACCTAATACTTCTGGATATTCTTCACCCAAATATTCGTAAAGGACAACACCTAAATGACCCATTAGTTTTTCCTATAAATAAATAAAAACAACAAAAATAAGTATCATCTTATATTAATAAAATTTATATGTATAAAATATAAATTTACTTCTTGACAAGTCTTCATCACAACAGCAATTCGTGATATTAAATCGGCAGCTTGTTGTCTTACTTTTGCAGACTTATTATTTAATCTCCACAATATTGTACCGCATATTTGTGGAAGATATGCTTTTACTCTTTTTCCTAATGTATTCACAATGGTACCAAAACCATTCAACATTACAACATCCTATGTTAATAAATAAATAAATTTATTACATTATTATTGTATAATTTGAATTTATAGAAATTATAACTAGTACAGACCTCTGTTGTTTGTTCTTGGAAAGCATATAAAATACCATCAATAAGTTGTTCTTCTAAACGAGAATCAACATCTGCTGCTCCCAAGTTGCCCATTATTTTTTCAATAGTTTCCATAACCATTTTTCTATATTGTTCATTTTCATCCTTCAAATCATCTACTACACGATTTATAATTTCTGATGCACCAACTTTATTTGCAATTTCTACAGTTGTATCCACAAGCTAAAAAAATCAAATTTTTATAAAATTCGTGTATTTTATAATTTTTTTTATCAATATGTTCATTAATATATATAATATACTTGTCTATAATTTCTACGATCTAAAGCCATTCGGTGATTCCAAAAATGTTTAAAGAAATGTGGAAGGATTTCATCTTTGATATATTGCGCTTCTACACCATCTGTTCCGCAACATTGTTTCACTACCTATAATATATCATTTTGATATAATAATAATATATTTAATATATGATTATAATTAAAATATTGATATTGGTATTATTATACTTTAAAGAATTTACTTTAAGAACAATTTTCTTCATTTCTTCATCTGGTGACTGGAATTCACGAATAAGAATTAACATTACTTCACGAGTATAATAATTAGCATATTCAGCATCCATAAGAGGAATTAAATAACCAATGGCTTTTAAGAATGCAGCGAGACCTTTTCCTCTATGAGTACGAATACCTTTCCAAAGTGGTTTTAAAACAGAATCGAAACTTTCGATACCGTAAGGTGTGGCTGCTTCAGCTAAGGCAGCAATTGCTAAAGCAGTGATAGTACGAACTTTTTGTTGTTCGTCAACGAGACCTATAAATTAATCAATGTTTTTTAATTATCTTTTAAAATATAATTTAATAAGTTGTAAAAATTTAATTACCATGTTCTATAATTTCAACCAAACTCTTTAAATGTGGTAATATAGCACATCCCATAAGAATAGCAATTTGTTGTACAATTTTTATACCAGTATGACGAGCTTGCCATGATTTTTTACTACGACATACAGCTTTAAGGAATGGAAGTAAAGAAGGAATTCCTAAGGCTGATGCCACCACAGCAAATGCTCTGGCTGTTGTATTACGGACATATTCATCAATATTGTCAATATCTGGTCTCATTGTAGAAATCATTGTTGCCAAACCAGCAGCTTTTGCCAAATTAGAGATAATTTCTCTACCTTCGACACGAGCATAGTAGTCTTCATCAATAAGCAAAGGTTC